AACTAATGTTTGCAGGATACATGAGCCTCTGATAGAAAAGTTAATATATTAGTTGCAGGAATGTCATACGAACTGACAATGGTAGTGAGATCTACAACAAGAGTGATTGTTGTAATCTGCTGGTGACTAATTTGTAAACAAACTATGTTAAAGGAATCAAATCTCTGCAGTCTTGGTCGTATATTAGTGTGTTGCAAATAAAATGACCAGAAGAAACGAGTATATTTTGGCTCCACCATTTTGACTATGAGTAAGAGAATAATTTTGCATATTCATCAATTTCTTGGCACTCGTTTGCCAATTTTTTCCCCTCATAATCATTCATATTACCCAGTAATCTATGAGAATTTTGCATCATTCAGTTTGATCACTAGTTTTTGATAGATGTCTGATATTAAACTTAGTTCGAGAATCTCCAATCGTCGATTACCTGTTGGTAATTATTGAAAAGTTGTATTTAATAACGAAAGTTGATCCACGAGTGCACATAAACATATTCTATTATTCATCGCCACAACTGTAGACTCAAAGCATGCTCGTTCCTCATTGTTTACTGGACGACGTAAATGAGTTGCAACGTAATTCCAAACAAATGAATTGTAAAATAATTTAGTTTTTGCTAATTTTTACTAGTAGTTTTGGCAGAGTTTACCAAGATCTGCCATTGTTAACAACAGTATAAGTGCGAGTATGAGTGTGACTGTCGGGCTTTGGAACTTTCTCATATCCTTGTTAACACTTGCATCATGAACATGTGTTGTAAAATCTTACTAGAGCTTTCGGTTCCGATGACGATCCTAAAACTGTTATATACAGGCATTACTTAGTTTAAAAATCTACATTTCGACTTCTGCCTTTTTTTTCTCTTGCATTGTAGCCAATACTATGGCTCAGTATAAAAACAAGAAAGGAGATGATTCGGTGACAAAAAATAATACAAACTCCGATCACATTGACGGAAATGCAATAGCTAAAATACAACCAATACATCAAGATCAGCAAGCCAGACCATCTACAATGTTGAGAAATGAGCATCCGATAACGATCGACATTACACCATGCAAAAATCCGTCATTATTTTTCAATCTTACACTTCGTTCATTAGGTGTTATTTTCGGTGATATAGGCACATCACCACTATATGTTCTCAGTACGATATTCGATTTTCAACCATCCGAAGCACAATGCATTGGTGCAATCAGCTTGATTGTTTGGAGTTTAATTGTTGCTGTATCAATCAAATATGGTGTTTTCATACTTATGGCTGACAATCATGGTGAAGGTGGAACATTTGCTTTATGTGGTTTATTGACAAGTGAAAACAGTTTCTTAGGTCGAAGACGCAAGAAAGTAGTAATCGTTGTATCGCTGCTGGCTGGATCTCTCTTACTTGGTGATGGTGCACTAACACCAGCTGTGTCAGTGTTATCAGCTATCGAGGGAGTGGCCATTGAAGCTCCCAAGTTACAAAAATGGATTGTACCGATAACAGTAATCATTTTAATTCTTCTTTTCGTTGCTCAACGATGGGGAACGTCGAAAATTGGGATTACTTTTGGACCGATCATGTGTTTGTGGTTTTTGTGTCTGTTTATGATTGGTATTTGGCGAACAACTTACAAACCAAGTATTTTCAAAGCATTTAATCCATGGGAAGCATTTCATTATTTGTTAGTAGAGAAGAAAAGAGGTTTCTATCAAATTGGTGGTGTTTTTCTCTCTGTCACTGGTCTTGAAGCATTGTATGCTGATTTAGGCCATTTTGGACGGTGGCCAATTCGTTGTTCATGGTTCTTCATTGTTTTTCCTGCTGTATTGTTCAATTATTTGGGACAAGGTGCACTGTTAATCGTCGATCCAACTTTGATCGATAATCCATTTTATCATTCTGTTCCACATTGGGGACATTGGCCTATGGTCGTTCTGGCTACCATAGCAACAATAATTGCATCACAAGCCATAATCACAGGTAGCTTTTCGTTGATCAGTCAAGCGATTGGTATGGAATGTTCGGTACCATTTCAAATATGGCATACATCAAAAACGGTTATCGGTCAAATCTATGTTCCGACTATAAACTACATATTAATGCTTCTTACTATTGCTGTCGTTGCAGGATTTCAAACAGGTTCTAATATAACCAATGCTTATGGAGTTACTGTTTGTAGTGTGATGGTCATCACAACTATCTTATACATGCTTGTTCTTCATTATACGTGGCGCAAACCATGGTATGTTGTTGCACCATTTGGTATCTTTCTCATTATAGATCTTTATACGTGGTCATCAAATGCGATCAAGATTCCGTCTGGAGGATGGGTTGCTATTCTGATTGGATTCGCATTTTTCATTCTTGGTTTTTGCTGGTTTTTCGGTCAATTTCAATTGCGTCGGTTTTTGAAGACTCATGCGCAGACAACAAATCTTAACATACTAGCGATAAGACTCGGCATATTATTTCGAGACTCTCGACAAGATTCTCGAATTTCATTTACTGATATTCCAATCGTTTGGACCACTAAAAGAACTGAGCCGGATAACATATCATATTCGGATTCGGATTCAGATTCATATGTTGGTTGTGATGCGAATGACAACAGAACTCTACCCAAAGTTCAAAGCCGTGTGCAATTAATACAAAGAGTATCAATACCATTGCCGTCCTCCGATGCATCTTCCAATTTGGAGTTACATAATATGAATATGAATGATACCATTCCCGCTGTAGTGACGCCATGCATTGCTTGTTTTCTAACAATGTCGAAGAAACATACACCTCATGTATTTGAAAATTTTGTATCGCACATGCATTCCATACCTCAAGTAATCATATTTCTTAAAATTGAGCATTCAAAACGAGCAATAATCAACGACAATGAGCGTCTTACAGTGAAAACCTATGGTGATAATATTTATCATATTACAGCATCGTACGGCTATTCTCAATATCGAATAAAACCCTACGAGATTTTATTACTCGCTCGTGCACAATATAATGTGCCAATACCAAATGATGAGTTACAAGTTACATTTTTCGTTCCAAATGAAACCATCAAAGTATCAACAGTTGGATGGAGAAGCTGGATTCGACGTTGGCCATTGTATATTTATTCGATCCTAAAAAGTTTATATCCGGGAGCAGCAGTGAACATTAAATTAAATCCTGAGAATACCATTAGCATTGGTATATTGGCAAAGTTGGACTGAATTATTATTCGATTTGTAAACAAAAGTTATATTCATTTATCATTCATATCGAGTTTCTGTATTTTTAAGGAATTTAAATCTTCACTTGTTTTTTTTTTTCATCAGTTCAGTGTACTAATTGCTTGATATAACATATGAATATTTGACTATTGATGTCAAATATCGTATGTTCTAGAAACAGATCGTGTTGAAGAGCTGGAATGATTAACGGACCGCATTGTTAAATGGCAATATATCCTATTTTTTTCTTAATTAAATAAAACTTACTAAAAATGAATTCATACAATGTTAATCTGATATTATTATTATCAGTATATTTCATTAGAAATAGATTCGTTCTCATATCGATATATTCTTTTTAAGCATTTGCATATGTGATGTGCGTGATGTGTGTTGTCTTTTGCTAGGAACTATATACACGCTAAGTATACTTGACAATTTGGGTCTATCTTCTAGAGTGTTGCACAGAGAATGAGGATCTCCGTATTTCGAGAAAAATTTAGACAACTGATAACTAAAATTTGATGCCAAGAAGTAATCAAATAGCTGCTACAGCGATACCTGTTGATCAACATGTCGTTGAATTTGCCGCGACCAGTTCCAGTTTTTCTCAAGATTCATCACTAAGTAACAATATTGATCGATATTAGAAATGAAAGAAATTACCCGATATTTTGCGACTATTGCAATCATTGCTGATCGATTTTTTGGTCAAAAGTATCACATTTATATACGTAGTTCATAAAAGCTGAAAGAAATAAATTGGATACAAATTGAAAAATAAACCTCGAATAGAACTTCTGTCGATCTCTCTAATAATGTATTCTACTGATGACTCACAAACTGAAGAATAACGTCATGTGTAAAGCAAACATTGCTACATTTTCTAAGACCTTTTTCAAGCAAATAAGAATTTGTGAAAACGCGTTTAGACACTTTCATGTCCATTCAAAAAACACCAAAATCAGCTACTTAAACGTATCTTCAGATCAATCGAAAGAATATTGCCATACTGTACAAAGTGAATAAAATAAGACTTTTTGTTAAACAAAGGATCTCATAAAAAAATCATCAATTTTTCCTCACTCTGGAAACATTATAAAATGAAAGTACTTTAGTAGTATATAACTACTTTAATATTAGTTTATTAAGATCATGTCCCTTTTATGAATAAAAATATTTTAAATGCCAGAAGTTACCGAACACTCTTGAAGAAAAAAAAGACAACTAAGTTTAGCTATTATTTAGATGTATTTCAGACTGTAATATGTTCATAGATGTATTGATTAGTTTTATTTTCTTTTCCTCAATGAAAGAGTATTTCAGAAAGGTCTCTCATACCGAATGGAAAAATCGATTTTATATCTCAACGTATTAGTAGTACGATAAACTTTTGTATTTTAGTTACATGAACTTGAACTCGATATTTTTTTATTATTTATTTTATTGAATTTGACAATCACTGACGAATGGTATTGAACTCTACTTTTATAGAAATTTCTTTTCCAAAAAAACATGATTTCGTTTTTAATTATATTTAAGAGAACAATGAATGCATCCATATTCTATTCAAGTTTTGATCAGTTTGAAATTTTCAAAAAATGAATAAGTGAAAAGAAAATCTTTGTTTAAAATGAATTCGAGCATTGTTTTCAAAAATTTCATTTCGAAATCGAATTGGATTGAACTAAATTATTTGTCTATTGAATTTGATGTGATTCTTTGATGTTCATTCTCTTAGTCATTTAGTAGCAGGAGTTTATTTACAATTTAATTTTGAATAATGATTTCATCGTTTCAAATGTTTGCAAAAATATCTTTTGTACGAATATAGAGAAAAGAAGACCGTTTTAGTTAGGAAACAAAAAGAATTAATAAAATGTGTTTTGAAAAAAAAATTAGTTTGGTATTATTCTTTTGATTTGAAACTGATAAAGGGCAAGACGAGATTATCCTAATTCGAATAGAATTTTATTCAATTTAAAATTATATTATTTAGATCTAATTATATTGTCCGTTTAAGTTGATCTGTATGTGATTTCTTTTCATCGTTTTCTTCTCATCTATTGTTCCTATAAATTAAGTATGGTTATTGCCTGCTTTCACAAATGTCCTAAATATATCTCACAGAATTTGCCAATAATCTTCTTAAAACAAACTAATCGCAAAACAACAATACTGGATAACATCTTATCTTTATTAGTTGCTATTCGTATCAATGATTGAACTATAAATATCTGTATGTAAAATAGGCGTATCTCTTTTTGCAAAATTCCGTTACTATAGAGTTCTTTGTTTGCATATTGTCGACTTTTTCTGATAGCATTTCTACGTTCGAGATTCTCCTATGATAACAAATAATAGTAGAATAAAATGTTTGCTTCATCATTCTTCAAATGATTCATGTTTGAATTTATTTGATAAATATATATTAATTTGTTCACATCGTCATCCACAAATGGAAAGCTTTACATGAGAGTTCGAAATCGATTCGTAATTAAAAGGATTCATTTATTTATTTATTAAAATTGTTAGAAATAACTCATAATTCTATACTTCCCAAAAGAATCTGTCACATATACATCCTTGAGGCTTATCACATCGACGAATGAAAAATCCATTAAATCGACATTTCCACCATTGAGTACATGCTTGTGTACATTGCCAGTCGAATGCACCTCGAACATTTCGTACAAGAATTTCTTCATCTTGTTCTTCTTGCAGATTGTCATTATCCATAGGCACTACATTTGCTTGGATCATAGTCGCCATGATCAAGCTAATCAGAAGAAGAATGCTAAAAAGATGTTTGTGTTGCATAATAGTCTATCGTTGAGTTGCTGTTTTGAATTGAAGATTCGTGTATGTAAGAAGCACTAATCATCCATTGTATTTATATAGTAATAAAAAAGGAAGTGTCAGCACGAAGTAGATAAGAACTATTATGAGAAGGCAAAGAAAACAAAAATAGCATCACAATAAAAGGTTTACATCATTTGACCTTTTAAATGTTTACATGTTCCCCAATCTGTATGAGTCATAAATGAAAAGGTCTAAGAAAAAATAAGACCAAATGAAAGCACCCATGTTGAATTATGGGTGATATTCAAAAAACTGGGAACACTAAGACTATTTTTATATTGGAAAGAAACAATCATCAATTGAACGAAGTGTCGAAAAAGGTTTTCGAGTTGACTTGGAGTTTTTCGAATGCATGTGGTTATGACATTATACTCAACAATACTAGATAGTAAGCCTGAAATTATTGAATTCGATCTTCGATAAATATGACGTTAGTAGTTTTGAAAATTAGATCAAACAGCTTTTTTCAAGCTAACCAGTATTCGCATATATCTGCGTATTTCATTAGATGTTCGAGACAACACTGATTTATGAAATGACTACAAATAAAATCCGCTGTCTATCGGAGACATTGCGAATTATCTTTCCACTCAACTTGTCAGAGAATTATATGCCAAGGATGGATAATGAATTGAACACAATGCTGGCTGACAGAACAAAGCAACGATGTTGATGCTAGTGATATAATTCGAAAAGATTCTAGAAAAATTGAGCCTCTCTGATCGTATTGCTATGAAGAGGCTCCACCTTCCTTCCAAGTGGGATGCAAGCTTGTCTAGACGGCATTCGGAGACTTTTAGGGAGAAGATGTCTCAGCTACTTCTATCTTCGTTTTCTTTTCGTTTCTACTATTGTTGGTTCTTATCGAAGTATTTCTTCTGCTGAAACCAAAAATATAGAAGGACGATGAGAATCGTGAACGTTAAGATACTTTTTATTATTGTTTGTTTGATAAATAGTGATATCACGTTCGTTAGTATTTTATTAGAATAAAATAAAATAATTGTTAGTACAATGGAAAATATTTAGCGAAAAAAAAAACTACTAATATTCTAAAATTTTGGATTGCTAATTAATTATTATTGATTTGCCACTAATTTATGTTTATTGTGAACTAGAATAAAAAGAAATAATTTATTTTATATAATAAAAATCTCTCAAAGTAACAATATGAAACAAGAACAACCATAGATTGTCATCCTCATATCATATTCACATGTGTGGATAATTCAACATTTATGATCACTTCTGGTAACGAAATAGGGATTTCGATTTGAGGATTTTTTAAATTAAGGATTCTATTTCAAATATATGATATGCCATACATACCATAATTATGAATACCATCTTCTAGCGTACTGAGAATCTTTCATCATTGATGTCAAGTACTGCAGCGATTCGAAATTCATGTTTCATTTCTTGTGTAAAATTGAATGTGTCTGTACAGGATAGTTTTTGAAAATAAACTTTCCTATGTCACTACATACGATGCGAAGAAGATAAGCATCACTTAACGAGATACACCTCTAAACCTTAGAGAATTAAAGAATGTTTCATATCTAGTTCTTTGTCGACTCCAGTTTTTCTTGTATCGATATGACTTTACTAACTTTATGTATAGTTTTATATAGACGGCATTTAACAAATGAACATAGTTTCAGTTTGTTCGAGTTTGACAATTAAAACTATAAGTTTATTTCTTTTCTTATAGACTTCAGTTTATTCGGATTTTTTCTCTGTTTTTATCCTAATATCTCTGCTTTTAGTGGCCAGAATCGATGTTTGTATGGAATATCATATATTTAAGACAAAATCCTAAATAAAATCTCCATTTAGTTACCAGAAATTACTATTGGTAAATGATAGACATTTCCATAGATAATGAGATGTTTCTTTATATCTTACTTCATTATTTTGAATTCTTTTGATAGTGATTGTTTCAATAAGTACTGATTAAAATGAATCTTCGGTAGTATCTTCCTATAAAAATTTAAAAAGAAAATAGAATTATTTATTTGTTTTTTATTGTTTATAAAAGAAAGAAGATTACTTCTTGTCGACTATGATATGCAACTTTAAGTAAACGAAGTTCTTCACAAAGTACTTCATATCGATGACCTATTCGAATATTTGGTACATTTGAACGACGAATATCATTACCAGCAATACCAGGTTGTTTATAACCTACTCCAAGCCAAGCTTTTTTAACCTAAATCATAGAAAAAGAAATTTCAAAAAAGATCAAATAAACGTTGTAACATCATACTTCATCCGGATAACCACTCATTAAAACAGAATTTCGTGCTATTTCACACATATCAATTGATGATAACTTCCATATTTGAGCAGCAATGGAATATTCTTCCATTAATGGTTCCTAAAAAACGTTTACATCATCTTTGTGACTTTTATTTTCTACGAACTATACAAGTTGTTAACTCAACATATATATAAGGAGAATTCAGACGCATTTCAAGTTTTATCCCTAATATGAAATTCGAAAGAAATAGAGTTTTGACTAGATTCTTGATAGGTATCATATGAAATCAAACGATGCCTCTCAGTTCACGTGTTTTCTTCATTAGAAAAAACAAGCTATTTGGTTTTTCATGAATAAAACTATTCAATAGTCTTATTTTGATTAAAATAGATCACCCATAATCAGTAAATTCAATTACACGATTTCGAAAAATATTAACCTTAGTAAAATGAAATTGTAATGGATCATCTGTTGATAATGAAACACAAAGACCACGTTGAAAATATTCCAAAAATGGATTTCGATTATAACTCAAAAATAATGAATTATTACTTAATGGTGACATAGCTATACCAATTTGACATAAATAATATAAATATTGTAATACAGATGACTATTAGAAAATATCAAAATATAATCATTTTCAAATATATATACAAAAAAACAAAATACTTCGCGTAAAACAAGACCATGAGAAATATTTTCTGCAAGTATATATGCTGTAGCAAGATGTGATACATCACCAGCTTCACCACAATGTGGACGCAATTGATATGTATTTAAACCACGTGATCTAAAAATTAATGAAGAATTTTTATTTTATACAAAAAAACCAATTTTATTCAATTTCTAACCTTCGAAGTTGATTAAGTGTAAGAATATTTGCATACATATAAAACTAAACATATTTAAAAAATAAAGAAAAAAAAACAAAATATTATTATAAATATAATACTAAATAATAAGCATAAGGTGGATTTTCATTTGTATTCCATTGATCTGGATCTATCGTATGACATGTTGATATTGATCTTTCAGGTTTTGATTCATCATCAACTGAATCAAAACCAGTAAAATAACGCATAAAACGGAATAAATCTGGATGTGATTCAGGATGAATTGTTGCATCAAATAATGGTTGAAAAAGATTTGTTAAAAGTTCTTCAAAATTTTTTAATTTACCACCTGCACGATGAGCAGTACTAAGAAAAATAATTTAAATCTTTTCTTTCTAATCTACAGAAATATTTTTTATTAATAAAACATACAAAATGCGTGGTACTTGTATCATATAACTAACATTAGTCGAATGCATTTCATTTTTTAAAAACCATTTAGCTAATTTATCCCATTCATCCATACTTCTACCTTGAATTGACATACGAAATTCTGCATGTTGATATCTACTCACTTCTAAATTAGTGATAACTTCCTTGAAAAACAAAAATAAAGAGATGACTTTTGTTTGCTCGGAGAAAAAAAAGCAAATATATTACTTTTAACAGTTCAGCATAAAATACTCCATCAATATGATTATTAGGTTTCATAAAAATTTCTCTACAAAAATACCGAAACTTGGTACATAAAATCAATAGAATTGTCCAGTTTACCGTAACATCGCTTTACCAGCAGGATTATAATTTGCATTGAAACGATCGAAACGTTGAAATGTATGTCGATCCTAAAAAAGAAATGTTCTTTTTTATTCTTATTGTTATTCTAGATACAAGGAAATTGCTTCAAAGAATTTCTATTTGTCTATAGATGACAAATTTTCTTCTTTATATATATATAGATTGTGGAACTCAATGAGATGAATTTTTACAATATAAATCATTTTTTCTGATAGAAGTTTTAAGCAGACTAAATCAATTCATTCAATTCGTCGAAGAACACATTCGAAAACATTAATTACTAAAGTTTTTCTTGCAACAGAATCCGAGAGATAATAATTAGTTATTAACTGTCTTATTTTTCGTTGTTTATTATCATTTCATAGACTCAATAATGATTGAATGATGTCTTTATCTATAATGTAGAATGTTGCTATCACTACACAGACCCATTATTTACTGTATGAAAGAAAAAACCAATAATACTGAAAAATCAAACATGCTTTGAACATTTTTTTTTATTGTTTCTTGTACTCTACTATGTGAAAAATTTAGATAAAATTTCACGTGAGTTATGAACTTCTTACAATCTACAGTTTTCTAGATGTCATGAGTAAAACAAGATGTCTTCTTTTGAATTCATCAAGAGTCTCTTGATATTAGCTCAATTACTATCTAATATGTTTATGCAAAACAAAATCATCGAATAATTTTGTAATACAAAAACAAAACTAGTCTTTGATATAAATAATAACAGACTATTTAAAAAAATAATTTTTTCATTTAGATAATCTTTGGTCAAAATCTTGATGAATCATGCTTGTCATTTAAAAATTTTTCATAATTTACTTACAGCATGAACACCAAGTTGATCAATATCTATATGATTAATATCGAGTTTTAATTCATCAAAAACTTGTTTTAATGTTAACATAGTTCCATCAGGTTTCTTATAAACTTTCATATCACTTGATACTTGCATTTTTTTCTTCATAAAAGTTAATAAACTTTTTTGATGCATTGATGCTACTGCATGAATATGTGTATCAACTTTTCGAATATTATAAAAATCTCTATGTGATGCTGATTTAGCTTCTGACCATTCTTTAACTTCATTAAGTAATGTATGTAATTCATGTTTTGTTTTAAGATATTGTAAACGACGATGGCAATAAGATTGTAATGGACCATCAACAATCATTTTTGATATAAGTGTATAATCTTCAATGAATTCATCCATAGTTATGGATTTATATTTAGCTGGTATCCATTGTTTTTGTTCATTAAGTGTATAAACATGATATATACCTTTTTCTGCTCTAACACAAGCATCCATAGGTGGAAGTAATGGTTTACTAAATGGATTTTCAACTTTTATAGCTACTGTAGTAGGTAGATCAGATTCTTCTAAATAAGAAAAGTTTTTATAAGAACATAGAAGTATTAGAGTTTTGTTTTTCAATAGTTTCATGAATATTATTAAATAAAAATACAGACTTCAACAACCAAAAGAATATATATATATATATGAGTAGCAAGAGAAAAAGCAAAGAACAAAATGATACGAACCTTTTTTGGGTAGATTGACATTTAATGATGTACGTTGATAATGATCATCTTCTTCTAAAATTTTAGCTAAAAAAGGTTCAATCGTTGTTGAATATGATTGACAACTATGGTGCATATATCTTTTATAAAAGCAGACATTTAAGTTTAATATTTAAAAAATAATTAAAATCATACTTTTGACGAATAGCTAAAGCACGAAGTAATGGACTTACAGAATCTTTTAACTCTTCAATAAATAATGTATCATGAACATCAGCAGCTAATTTCATTATTTTAAATGTATCATGTAATCCTCGTTTAGTGTTACTTAATGCATTTGTTACAAATGACGTTGCATGTTCAGTTTCAGATGTTTCATTAATTTGATTTTTTGAAGCGATTGGTGTTCTATTTTGATTATTATTCGTTCTATAAACAAAAATTTAGTTGCTAAGAATATAAAAGAAAATTTCTTACGGAGGTTCATAATCTAATGCAGTATTCGTTGCAGTTGTTCGTCCTTTTCTGGATGTTTTCAATGAAGAAGACTTATTAAAATTAAGAGTAGAGCGATGGTCAAGTTCATGAAGTATTTGGTTAGTAGATGGAATCGACTTTTCTATGACTACAAGAAACATATTAAGTTTTATTTACAAAAAAAAACTAAAAACTAATCAAAGTATCTTACTTTGCTCTGATTTTTCTTCTTGTGATGATTCTTTTGATAATTGTGTATCAACAGATTCTATGACATTAGTACTTTCTTCTTGATTCTGTTCTTTACCCGAATCAGGTACTGATGAATTTTTAGTTTTAATGCTTTTGATCAAATCAGAAGGATTTGTGCCCATTTTTGTTACTTATCTCAAAAAAAGAAAAACAAGGACAAAAAAACCATAACACTATTGATATGCAATCACATTTAATATGATATACCTATATAAATATAATAGCTCATCAAGTTATGTATAAAATAGGCAAAGTTGAATGAGTATATACGAACTAACAAAAATATGTATGATAAAACAGATGAAATAAGAAGAAAAGAGAAAAAATCCATAGCTTTTTTATGTTATGCTTGAATGCATTTATTTTCTGATTTTGTTTTATTTGAAACGAAAAAAATATCAGATTCAATTGAAAGGCATACTTGAGAGAATACATAAGTGTTTTTTTTTGTTTTCTATTTCGTTGATCAGGTCTTGTTTTGTTCTTATAATTTCTTTTACATGAATGCATTCATAAGGAAAAGTCATTTAATTGTAGGTTAGATATGAATTGCATATTTTTTTTTCCAGATTGACGTATAATACTAAATTTTATTGATAAAAGATATGCTTGCAATTGTTCGATGTAAAAATTTCTAAAATTATTCATAGTTTCTAATGATATGAACATGTAACTTCCTTATTGTTAAATATTTATCATGATCGAATCATATTCTATGAAATAGAAAAAAATTGAATTTTTTCTTAGAAAAATAAATTTCTACCCATTCGGAATACCATTTAAGCAGTCTGAGCTACTGTGAATTGTAAATATGCGTGTTTAGCAGCCAGATATTGATTGAAGACATTCATCAATATATTCGAATCTATTCGATATTAGATCGCATTTACAACTATTACAGGGAGTCGACATGTTTAGTATTTCTTTTCGTACTAATGTATTATAATTATAAAAATATTTTTGATCGACATGCATG